ACACACACACACACACACACACACTCACACACTCACTTTAACCTCATCTTTCTTTTTAAATGTGTTTGTGCTGTTCAAAGAGGCTGTGAGTTTCATCTGTTTCTCTGAGTGTCATTTACAGTGTGTGTCTGTGTGTCTGTGTCTGTCTGTGTGTGTGTGTGTGTGTGTGTGTGTGTGTGTGTGTATGTGTGTGTGTGTACCTGCATCTGTGCATGCATGTTTGTGTGTGCATGCTTGTCTGTGTGTGTCTGTATGTACCTGTTCATGTGTGTTTGTGCATGCGTGCGCGTGTGTGTGTTTGTATATGTATGTTTTTGTCTGGTTCTTTGCCTGTGTGTGTCTGTATGTGTGTGCGTGCATGTGTTTGTGCACGCACATTTGTGTCTGTGTGTGTTTGCGTGCAATCTGTGTCTCTGTGCATGTGTGTGTTTTCATCTGTGTGTGTGTGTGTGTGTACACATGCAACTGTCCATGCGTGTTTGTGTGTACATGCGTTTCTGTGTCTATGTATGTGTGTCTGCATGTCTCCGCATGTGTGTGTGTGTGTTTGTCTGTGTGTCTGGTTCTATAACTGTGTATCTCTGTGTATGCGTGTGTGTGTTTGCGCGTGTGTCTGGGTCTATGTATGTGTTTGTGTACGTGTGTGCGTGTGTGTATGCATGTGTGCGTGCGTGCTTGTTTGTTTGTGTGTATTTGTGTATGTGTGTGCATGTGCATGCATGCTTGTGTCTGTGTCTCTGTGCATGTATGTGTGTCTTCGTGTGTGCATCCGTATGTGTTTGTGCGTGTGTGGTTGTGCGTGTGCGTGTGTGTGTGTGTGCGCGCGTGTGTGTTGACAGAATTTCTGCAGTCGTGCGGCTCTGGAGGCTCAGGGTTCGTGTCTGAACAATAAGTACTCAGAGGGATACCCGGGGAAGAGGTGAGCTGTTCATTTATCCAGAAGTCTATTTAAAAGCACCGACAGCATCATCACTGAGCTGCTGTTTACTGTGGCAGACACACACACACACATTCACACTGTACCTGCGACTGCTGACCTGATGAAGACAAACTCTGGTCTAAAGTCTGAGATAGACCTGCTGTTAGAGTTCGCACTGTTGCCTTTTTTTTATCTGTCATTAGTGTTTTTTGCATTAAACCAACATGAATTAAATGCCTCATTCAGGTTAGCAGTGACTTTGTAGCTGCCTGTCGCTCTGGGTGGCGGCCTGCTTCAACCGCAGGGGTGTGTAGGTCTACACTGCACGAATACAACCAGCCTCTGGGCGAGCTGAGAGAGGATCACGTGAGCTCTACTGCTGCTCCTATTGGCTGACGCTTGACAAAGTCGCTCTTCATTTGCATAAAGTTGAAGGATTCTCAACTTTGTGGTTTGCTCGGCACATCCACCTGGTCACCAGCGGTCAGTGTCACTCGCCTAGATGAAGGTCGCAGGAAGTCGCTTATTCTTTGTTGAAATGAACGCTTGTCGCTTCGCTGCTGCAAATCGCTTGTAGAGAGAATGAGGCTTAAGACTCAAGATTTCTAATGAAACAATGTATATTATTCATCTATTCATTCATTTTCAGCTTAGTCCCTTTATTCCGCAGAGGTTGCCACAGCGGAATGAACCACCAATTATTTCAGCATATATTTTTACACAGCGGATGCCCTTCCAACCGTGATCGAACACTAGGAAACACACACACACACACACACACACACACACACACACACACACACACCTACGGGCAATTTAGTTCATCAATTCCCCTATAGCGCATGTGGGAACACGGGAAGAACAAGCAAACTATACGAAGACATGGCCAGCTCGTCCATAGAGGCGACCTACAGTAGGTGACCACGTAGGGCAGCAGAAAAGAGAGGGCGGCGTCCGTGACACCACCCTCAATACCCGCGCGACCTTTTTGTGTGTTTAGGATTGTTTTGTATGTATTTACAGGGTGTCTGCGGGGTCTTAAATTATTAAAAGCTTATAAATTAATAATGGGAAAATTAAGGCCCTTAAAAGTTATTAAAAAGTCTTAATCAGGTTTTTACGAGGTCTTCAATTGTGTTCAAGTGTTGTCTAATGTGTTTGACTAAAAAATAAAGCATAAATATATTTATTTTCCTCCAAATATTAACATTGGGGTGCTCAAGCCACGCGATTAGTTTAGGTTGGGGTGGTCCGGGCGAGCTCCTCTTTCCAGGCAGTGTCACGTAATTTGTGAAGCTCTCCACATGTAGCGAAACCATAGATCAGTTAAAGGTTTGATACTTATTCATCAGTTCATTCATTCACTTTACTAATTCATTCATTTACTCATTCACTCATTCATTCATTTAAGTGAAATAAGTGAAAAAAACTCTTTTATTCATTTGCTCATTTATTCACTTATTCATTTATTCACTCATTCATTCTTTACTCATTTATTAATTCACTCACTCACTCCTTTGTTTCTTCATTTAGTCATTCACTTATTAATTTTCTCATTTACTCACAAATTCATTTACTCACTCTGACTTATTCGTTCACTCACTCATTCATTCACTCACTAACTCATTCACCCATTCATTTCACGTATTCATGCAATCATTCATTTATTCTTATTCGCTTACTCGTTGACTCATTCATCAGTTCATTAATAAACTCACTTAATCTCTCACTCATTTATTCATTCACTTACTCATTTACTCATTCATTCATTAATTCACTCACTCATTAATTAATTAATTCATTCAAAGGTTTGATACTGATTAGAACTTGAAGTGGCGATGACATCTTCAATTATTCTGAGAAAGGCTTTAAAAAGTCTTAAAAGGTATTGAAATTGTCTGTAGTGTTCCTGCACATGCCCTGATTTAATAAACATGTAAAGCTTAAAAGTAGGATAAAATAATTTAGTTCTTTTCTCAAACATCATTTTAGGATTTTATTTTTGATGCTTTTATTTTTACTTGTTAGAAATGTTATTATTTTAGATTTTCAAATGTGTAAATGTTAGGTTGTCTGGGGTTCAGTCTGTCATGTCACACTGTCTGATGAGTTTGACTGACTGTCTGTCTGTGTGCGTGCGTGCGTGCGTGCGTGCGTGCGTTTGTGTGTGTGTGTGTGTGTGTGTGTGTGTGTGTGTGTGTGTGTGTGTGTGTGTGTGTGTGTGTGTGTGTGTGCGCAGGTATTACGGCGGAGCGGAGGTGGTGGATCAGATCGAGTTGTTGTGTCAGAAGAGAGCTCTGGAAGCGTTTGATCTGGACCCGCAGCTCTGGGGTGTGAATGTTCAGCCCTATTCTGGATCTCCAGCAAACTTCGCTGCGTATACAGCAGTGCTGAACCCACACGAGCGCATCATGGGCCTGGACCTGCCTGATGGTGGACAGTGAGTGACATTAATTCATTAATTCACTTACTCATTCATTCACTTCCTCACTCATTAATTCATTCACTCACTCATTCATTTACTTCCTCGCTCATTAATTCATTCCTCGCTCATTCATTTAATCACTCATTCATTCACTTCCTCGCTCATTAATTCACTTACTCATTCATTCACTTCCTCGCTCATTCATTCATTCACTCACTCATTCGTTCACTCACTCATTCATTCACTTCCTCGCTCATACATTCATTTTCTCACTCATTCATTCACTCGCTCGTTCATTCACTTCCTCGCTCATTCATTCACTCACTCACTCTTTGACTCATTCATCCACTCACTCATTAATTTACTCACTCATTCATTTCACTTGTTCATTCAATCATTCATTCTCATTCACTTACTCATTGACTCATTCATCAGTTCAATGATCCACTCACTCACTCAGTCATTCATTTATTCATTTACTCATTCATTTCACTTATTCTTTCATTCATTTATTCACTCATTCCATCATTCATTTACTCATATACTCACTCCTTTTATTAATGTATTCATTCACTCATTTATTAATTCACTCATTAATTTCCTTATTCACTCATTAACTTACTCATTTACTCACTCTTTGACTCATTCATCCATTCCCTCACTCATTCACTTACTCATTCACCCATTCATTTCACACTTTAATTTAATCATTCATTCATTCATTCTCCTTCGCTCACTTATTGACTCATTCATCAGTTCATTAATTCACTCATTCATTCATCATTCACTCATTTACTCACTCCTTCATTTTTTCATTTATTCATTCACTTAGTCACTCACTCACTCATTAGTTTACTCACTCGCTCTTTGACCCATTCATCCATTCACTTATTCATTCACTCATTCATTCACACATTTATTTCACTTATTTATTCATTCATTCATTCTCATTTGCTCACTCATTAACTCATTCATCAGTTTATTAATTCACTCACTCATTCATTCACTCATTTATTCACTAACGCATTTATTCACTCATTCATTCAGTCATTCATTTACTCATTCACTCATTCATTCACTCTCACTCACTCCTTTGTTTATTAATCTATTTATTCACTCATTCATTCATTCACTCACTCACTCATTTATTTATTCACTCACTCATTTACTCACTGTTTGACTCATTCATGCATTTCCTCACTCATTTATTTATTCACCCGTACATTTCATTTATTCTGTCTATCATTCATTGATTCATTCTCATTTGCTCACTCATTGACTTATTCATCAGTTCAATAATTCACTCACTCATTTACTCCATTCATTGATTCATTTACTAATTTATTCACTCATTTAATCGCTCATTTATTTACTTATTCACTCTAATTCACTCACTCTCCTTTATTTTTTCAGTTATTCATTCACTCACTCATTTACTCATAGGTCATTCACCTATTCATTCAATCATTCATTCTCATTTGCTCACTCATTGACTCATTCATCAGTTCATTAATTCACTCATTCATTCACTCATTCATTAATTTACTTATTCATTCACTCACTCATTTATTCACTCATTCACTCAGTCATTCATTAATTCATTCACTCATTCATTCTTCACTCATTCATCAATTCATTCACTCACTCACTCACTCCTTTTATTTCCTCATATATTCATTTTCTCATTCACTCACTCATACATTTATTCACTCTTTGACTCATTCACTCACTCATTCACCCATTCATTTAACTTGTTCATGCAATCATTCCTTCATTCTCATTGGCTTACTCGTTGACTCATTCATCAGTTCATTAATACACTCACTTAATCACTCGCTCATTTATTCATTTACTTACTCATTCACTCGTTCATTCATTCACTCATTCACTCACTCACTCATTCTCTCTTATGCACTCACTCCTTTGTTTATTCGCTTGTTTATTCAATCACTCACTCGTTCATTCACTCACTCATTGATGACCCTGACCTGAGCTCTGTGTTTTTCTCTCAGTCTCACCCACGGGTACATGTCTGACGTCCGCCGCATCTCCGCCACTTCCATCTACTTTGAGTCGATGCCCTACAAACTCAACGTGAGTTACACACAACTGAGGTCTTCAGTACTATAGTGATCATAAATGATGACGACTAATGAAGAGAAAGTGTGTGTGCGCGTGTGCGCGTGTGCGTGTGTGCGTGTGTGTGTGTGTGTGTGTGTGTGTGTGTGTGTGTGTATGTGTGTGTGTATGTATATATATATATATATATATATATATATATATATATATATATATATATAATATTTCTCTCGCTCTTGTGACTGTGCACACACAGTCAGTTGCAAAGCCAAGCGAAAGTAGGCTTACGTAAAAAGGTAAAACGCAAGATTCAAGATACAAGATTCCAAAAGCTAGAGCAAAAGTTGAATCCTGGACATTTTACGAGATCTAGAACCTGGGCCGGACGAAACTATCAGTAAGGCGCATCTCTCTCATTCAGCTGAGCTGTTGACAGGTCTCGTGCTCACAGAATGAAACTGGTTAACGAGAGAAGATTTT